AGTTTTATGAATTTTTATTCATTAAATTAATTATTTCAATATTGAAGACTAACAAATTAAGTATAAATTATTATTTTTAAAATAAAAATGTCATTTTGGGTTATATTTTATATTTCTATTTATTTTTATAAAAATAATTAAAATTGTAACGGAACGGATCGGATATCCGGTAAAAATCCGGATTTTAGTTCGGATATCCGGTTTGGTGCCGAACGGATACGGATCAGACAAATGTTGATCTGAACGGAGCGGAGTGGATCACAGATATCCGCTTCGTGCCCACCCCTATAAGCACACGACCTCTCGCACTAAAATCAGACTTTGATGCAACCATCGATACGGAAACAATGAGTACTTTTTTTTCTATCAAACAAAGTATATTGAGCTTTGGTCATTTTAATCTTTTTTTTGTTTATTTTAACTTTGGTCATGTAATTTTCCACCAATACAAAATATCAAAACTATATAACTCATCATCTTCGCAATCGTCCATCAAATACTTTTTCAATTCGGATTCAGGTTGCGCATGTCCTTTACTTTCTTTGTATTTTTTGCAAAATCAAAGTTATCCAAAAACCTGAACATTAATTTGCTTACCATTGTTGTCATTTCATTTACTCAAAGCCACCAAACTGTCCGGAAAGAACAAAATGTTTTGAAAGGGAATTTTGGAATGAAAGAAAACATTATTAAAGTAATATTACATAGAAACATTATACAAAGAATCTCAAATTATATATGATACAAAAACTCGAATAGCGCGGAATATTCCCTAGTTGTAACAAAGAAGTGTTTTCACTTTTTTTTTAGCCTCCACTTAGGTTCATTTGCCACTCATTAATTTTTTGTCTTATCAAAACCTACCTTTGAGAAAACTGAATCAACTTTGATACCGTTTCATCCTTTTTCCGTTTATATGTTATCAAACTCTATCATAGTTGAATTTTTAACTCTGGATTTTATATTAACATAAAACATAACATGTACAAAAGTAATGAGTTGTTATGACAAAGGATTACAAGAATTACAAAAGATTATTGTTGTGGTTTAGTTATCTTTATTATTTATCTGCTTTGAAATTGTTAAATGGTTGACAATAAATTTCTTGTTTTCGATAATATTTACCCCATCTTCTATGTATGTGGAAAGAAGATTATTAGTCAGTATATTTTTTAATGCATAATTAGTCCAATACTTATTTCGAACCTATCAAGAAACAAATGTCATTGCAGCTAATGTTTAAAGATGCTTAACACATATAACAATGCGTGAACTTTTGTTTCAACTGATGTGACAGTAGCTGCAATATTACATTAATTTCATATTACAACACTATTTTGATTATTCAGACATGGGATCTAAGTTATGCCTATACGTTTGTTTGCATTCAACCAAGAGGCACAAAAAAAAACAAATACACTTGCTTGGTACAGATGATACATGGGTTCCTTAATTTATTTCACAAACTACTAATTCATGTATGTTTTCTTTATTTGTTGAGTGAATCGTAGTTAAATATTGGATACCATTTTCATATTATTAAAATACAATTAAAGTGGTAAAATACATACAAAAATGTTATAACTTAAATCCCTAGCAAGGTGGAGCTGAGGCAGAAGAATCTCTTCAGTGTGAGCGACTGAAAATGTACTGGCAGAGCAGTGGAGAGTATCTCGCTGCCAAGGTTGATCGATACACAAAAACAAAGAAGAGTACATACTCTGGATTTGAGATTTTCCGTATCAAAGAAAGGGATATTCCCATCGAGGTTCTTGAGCTGGACAACAAGAACGACAAGATCATTGCTTTTGCGTGGGAGCCCAAGGGTCATAGGTTTGCTGTGATTCATGGTGACCAAGCAAGACCTGATGTCAGCTTCTACCCAATGAAGACCGCACAAAACACTGGAAGGGTTTCAAAGCTCGGTACTTTGAAGGCCAAACAAGCCAATGCCCTCTTCTGGTCACCGACAGGCAAGTACATAATTCTTGCTGGGTTGAAGGGTTTCAATGGCCCGCTTGAATTTTTCAACGTGGATGAGCTCGAGACAATGGCCCAGCTGAACACTTCATGGCCACGGATATCGAATGGGACCCAACGGGAAGGTACTAGAACTAAACCTGTCCATTGGTGGTTTCTCTCTATTCCAATTTTGCAAAAAGTGTATAATGTTCCTTGCATTTTCTATTTTCAAAAGGTACGTTGCAACAGCAGTGACATCAGTCCATGAGATGGAGAATGGTTTCAGCATATGGTCTTTCAACGGGAATTTGCTTTACCGGATACTGAAGGATTATTTCTTCAAGGTATGTAACAAAAAAAAAATTGGTCTCTAACTAACATGATCCATGGTGATGTGTTATAAAACAGTGTAATTTTGGATGGTTACAGTTGGCATGGCGCCCAAGGCCGCCATCATTCTTGTCTGCAGAGAAGGAAGAAGAGATTGCAAAGAACCTGAAAAAGTATAGTAAGAAGTATGAGGTAGAGGATCAGGACGTGTCGTTGCAGCTGACTGAACAAGACAAAGAGAAGAGGAATGCATTGAATGAAGAATGGGAGAAATGGGTGATGCAGTGGAAGTCTCTGCATGAAGAGGAGAAACTCAAGAGGCAAAATCTTCGGGATGGTGAAGTCAGTGATGAGGAAGAAGAAGATGAGTATGAAGCCAAAGAAGTTGAGTTTGAGGATCTTATTGATGTCACTGAGGAAATCGTCTTTTCCTACTGATTATGCTCAAGAATAAATGCAAGTTTCTCACTTCAGTGTTTTTCTTTTCTTAGGTCTCCTTCGGATCTCTTAGACGTGAAATGATTTTGTTTTCTTATATTCCCTGAAATTTGAAGAGATTTTCAATTTTGGTTCATTGGATATTATGCATCTTATCGACTTCAACTTGCATTTTTTGTTTCTTAATTGCAAACTTGAAAATTTTGTTAGCGATTCAAGAAAGTGATCTGAGTCAGACTCAAAAGAGTTGATTGAGGTCTGCAAGGGGGAGAAAGAAATGCCAATGCTACAACCGGTTAATGTGGACATCAAAAGATTGACATCGAGGATCGGAGACTTCGGTATTCTCTCCAAGAAGTGGTAATAAGGCGGCATATAGAGTAACGAAGGAGATTTTTTCATTTTCGAATTATGTCCCTAAGGTGTACTCTATAGTGCCAAATTGGTGAAAGACAATTATTGAGGCGGATAAGCCTGAGTTGTAAGAATCTTTGGTTAATGAATGAGTAGTGTTGAGCTAAAAAAAATTAAAAATAAATAGCCACCAATGAATACCGAATTTCTTATAAATGTTTTTTTTGTTTTTGGTTACTATTGATCATAAAAGATCCGACCACTGTTGTGGAACACGACGAACATGCATTTAGGGTGACACTGGCTGGCATAGTTGTCTCCATAAAAATTTTACTAGAA